TAAACAAGCCAAGCTCCTTAAGTCTCCTCTCATAAAGTAGGTTTTCCATTCCTTGGATCATCCTAGTAGCACTTCTCTGAATCTGTTCCAGTTTGAATTCATCCTTCTTAAACATGGGAGACCCAAACTGCACACAGTATTCCAGATGAAGTCTCACTAGTGCCTTGTATAATGCTAATAAACACTTCCCTATCTCTACTGGAAATACCCCACCTGATGCAGTCAAGGATTGTATTAGCCTTTTTCACAACCATTGGTGACTCATAGTCATACTGTGATTGACCAATATACCTGGGTCTTTCTCCTCCACTGTCACTTCAAACTGATGCGTCCCCAGCTTATAGCAAAAATTCTTGTAAGTCCCTAAATGCATTACCTTGCACTTGGTACTGTTCAAATTCATCCAATTTCTATTACTCCTGTTTTCAAGGTCGTCCAAATTTTGTATGATTTTCTGGTCCTCCTCTTTATTGGCAACTTTGTGTCATCTGCAAATTTTATTAGCATACTCCCACTTTTGGTGCCAAGGTCATTAATGAAAATGTTAAATAAGATTGGTCCTACACCAATTCTTGAGGAACTCCACTAGTAACCTCCCTCCAGCCTGACAGTTCACTTTCAGCATGATCATTCCTTACCCACCTTTCGATTCTTGTATTAACCCCCACCTTCTTCAATTTAACTAATAATTTCCCATGTGGAACTGTATCAAATGCTATACTGACAGGGGTGGCTCTATGTTTTTTGCTGCCCCAAGCACGGCAGTCAGGCGGCCTTTGGCGGCATGCCTGCGGGCGGTCTGTGGTCACGTGGATTCGGCGGCGTTTCTGCGGGTGATCTGCTGGTCCCGCGGCTTCGTTGTATCCGCCGCTGAATTGCTGCAGAAACTGTGGGACCGGCGGACATTCCGCAGGCACGCCGCCAAAAGCCGCCTTACTGCCGCCCTCACAGTGATCAGCAGGCCACCCCTCGCAGCTTGTCGCCCCAGGCACACGCTTGCTGTGTTGGTGCCTGGAGCCACCCCGTATACTGAAATCCAGGTAGATAAGATCTACTACATTTCCTCTATCTACCAAATTGGTTATCTTTTCAAAGAAAGAGATCGGATTGGTCTGGTACGATCTACCATTTGTAAAACCATGTTGTATTTTATCAACCTTTATATCCGTCACTCTTTATATCCTCTCTTCCAAATGATCTTGCATACAATTGAGGTCAAACTAACAGACCTGTAGTTTCTTGAATCATTTCCCCCCCTTTTTTAAATACTGGTACTATGTTTCCAATGACCCCTGAGTTTACGAATTCATTAAAAGTTCTTGCTATTGGTTTTGGAATTTCATGTGCCAGTTCCGTTAATATTCTTGGATGGAAATTATCTGCCCCGCCCTCCCTTCCCTGGTCCCATTAAGCTTCCTTAGTTTGGCTTTGTAATGGGGTGGACTAGGCCCTGAGGCCCCCAGCTGGAAGCTTTGTGGGCCTGCCACACTCCGCCCCAGAAAAGGGCAGTAGAGAGGTCCTCCAATCTGCTTAGATCAGCTGTGTGGGAAACAACCAATCACAGCCCTGCAGGCTAGTATAAGAAGAGCTGCAGGGCTAGACTGACAGCAATTCCTTGCTAGGGCTGAAGGAGTGTGGCTGCCTGAGGGAGCTGCAGAACCCCCTACAGGGCAGTGCTGCCAGCAGCCAGGGAGAGCGAGAAGGAGCCCTGACCTGGTTGCTGGGACTCCATTAGGACAAGGCCCTGAAGTAAGGGTGAAGACACTGTGGGAAAGTGGCCCAGGGAATTAGAGAAGCCATGTGACATAGTTAAAGGGACACAGCAGATGGCTGCTATCTACAGGGTCCCTGGGCTGGGACCCGGAGTAGTGAGCAGGCCTGCCCCTCCCCCCCCCCCATTAGGCACTGGGAGAAGTGGCCTTGACATTGAGGCATCCCCAGAGGGGGGAACTGAACTGCAGTGGCCCAACTGGAGAGTTGTGCCTGGAAAGGCCCTAAGAGGGTGAATACTGTCACTAGGGAGGGAGCCTTGGGGCACTGCTCTATCTCGGAGCAGGGACAACTTGTGGGAGACATTACAGGGGCACTGACAGAGACTCCTGTTGGACTTGTACCCTGGAAGGGGTTTTGCTTTGCTTTCATCACACAGAGTGTGTGTGACTCGGCCGGAGAGCTGAGTCACCAAAGGCACACCACAGGGAGAGAGAGAGTGAGTGCAAGGCATATGCACTCTGTCAAGAGGGGGGACGCTCGCATCAGGTGAGTGTGCCCTGTTACAGGCTTCCACCTTGGATGTGATATTTTCTATTTCCATGTCTTCCTTCCCATTAGCTACCCTTATCTTTAATCCCCACCCTTCTCCAACCATCCTCAGTAGTTAGGTGTCCCACTTTTTCTTTCCTTGTTTTCTTTTTATTTATCTGGCTAAAGAACCTTTTACTATTGGTTTTAGTTTCCATTGCAAGACCCAACTCTGCTTGGCTTTTGGCAGTTCTCACTTTTCCCCTACACTTTTCCCCAAGAGGTAGCCTTCCTTGCTGATCCACCCCTTCTTCTATTCTTTGTAGGCTTTCTACTTTTTCTTAATAACCTGTTTGAGATACTTGTTCATCCATTTTAGTCTGCAACCTAAAATATGACCATGTAGATCATTGTTGCTACCACTGTTATATAATTGCAACAAACCACGTACAAACTATGTCATGTAATGTGTCAATGAAAAAGTTACGGTTTGCTGAATGATTATCCTGTTTATATGCATGTATCATTTTTGTATCTGAAGTTATGAATATTGACTATGTACCTGTATTTCAAATGTGTTTGCTCCTGTAGTAATTTACATCCACTCTAGCCAGCACATTATGAATGGAGTATTCAAGTCGATGACCCATCAGTGAACACAATGGACCATGGAAGAAGCTTATCTCTATCTGATGAACTTTCCTGTAGACCCCCCAGGCCCCGCCCCTGGCCAGGTCGGAGGTGGGAAGCTGGAGCCTGGCAGTGCAGGGCAGGTGCTGCTCTGACTGGTGCCACGGAGCAGGCAGCTGCAGTGTTTCCCCATCTCCTGCTGGTGCCTGGGGTTGCAACTGCTCGTCAGCTCCCAGCCCCTTTGACTGCTCATACAGCCAGTGGGGGGACCTGACTTGGCTCCAGCAGAGCCCTCAGGGAGCAGCGCCAGCAAGGGGGGGCACTCCTGGCACACAGCCCTTAGCTACTCCCACCCTGCACTACACCCTCTGCCTGCACACAGCCCCAGCTACCCTGCCCCACTAGCTACCTCCTGCTTGCACCCTGAGCGATTTTCAAACAATTTGAGCTGAGCCCCCCCACCTTTTGAGTTATAATTTTTGGTTGCCCCCTCCCCCCCAACCCAGACAGGCTGGGTGGCCTGCTGAGGTGAGTCAGGGGGTGGAGGTTGCACTCCCTCTCCAGACCCCATCATGTGGAACTGTCCCGAGCTCCACTGTCCCATGCCCCCGTCCCCATGGCCCCTGGAGTTTTTATAGCAGTGGGGGGGGGGGGGTGTCTCCGAAAGAAAAAGGTTGAAAACCCCTGCTCTGGGAACTCAATATAACTCTAGGTATTAACAATCCTATTGGTATTTTCATTGGTATTTTTATGTCCATGTACTAATATACTTGTGGTTTTGTTTTTAAAGATTCAGAAAAAATAGTCTATATTCCAGCGTTTAAAAAGTAAAGCTGTTGTAAGAGGTGAAGATCTACAGAAAGCACCAGATTAGAATACAGGACATTTATATATCTATAATTTAATTTAATCCAAATGATTAAGCTTTCTTTTTAAAAAATGACATCTGATTGGGTGAGTGTTTCCGTGACAAGTTTAAAATTTGATGATTTTTTTTATATGAAATTGTCTGAGATTAAGGAATTATGAAGAAAATGCTACACCGTATGAAATACCATAGCTGATGCCTCTGAAATCATACGGTCTTGTAGTTAAAGGAAACTGTCCTGTTATAGAGATGTACCTGAAATCTGAGTTTGGCCCTTAACATTTTTACCTTTATATTGGGTTCCATATCAATAAGCAGCCAGTAAAAATGCTGAAGCTTGGGATCTTACATTATTTCCGATGAACCTGAACTTTCATATTCATTAATCTTCCCCGTGAGCGAATTTCTTATATAAGTAAGCCAAAGTGGTGTTTCAACTTGTGGAGTTTCAGGCGATTTGAATTCCTACCATTTTGGATTGCAAGCAGCTTTTGATTATAGTTGTTTTCATTGAGTCTAATAGTTTAGGGCTCTTGTTCGCTGGATCCGTTCCATGCTTTTGTTTTATATATGAAACTTTAATAACATTTTACACCTTTAAACGGAGACAGCCAGTCTTGCAGACGGTAGAAGTGGTTTACTCTGTACTGTGGTTCATAGAAACATGCCAACGCTTGTGGAAAAGCAATGAGTGAACTTCGATGGTCTTACGTTAAAACAAGAAAATATGCGGAGTAAGATAAAAACACCACGCCGTGTTAGTTTTATACATGTAACAAAACGGGCATGCACCGAAACCGTAACAAGAGTGCAGACCCCGCTAGCGCACACGTACCTGAGCAGTAGGATGCTTGCGAGTCTATCCCGAGTGCCACGTCTCACTGTCCCACTCACTCTCCCTGGGACATTTATAGTGCAGTAGCCCGAGGCCTAAAAATAGCCTTTCAACAGCACGTCGCTGCCCATAAGGGGCGGAGGCCCAGCTCGGGCTCGGGGAGGTTCGCGACCTGTCACACACGGGATTTGGGGAAGGCGGGGGGAAGGGCAGAGCCTTGCAGGGGATCGGTGTGAGCGGGGCTGGCTGCGCGCGGCTGGCACGGGACGGGCTGGGGCAGGGCGGGGAGTGCACCGCCGGGGGCTCGGGGGCGGGAGAGAAGCGGGCGGCCGGGGCTCTAGTTTCACTCCCTGCCTGGCCCCGAGAGGCGGCGTGTGCACACGGGGGAGGGAGGCTCCGCGCAGAGCGGAGTCCCGCTCCCAGCCAGACCTGCAGGGGGAGTCGGCGAGAGACGCTCGCACAGGCACACGGCTCTCCTGCTGCCCGCTCGCCCGGACTCCCCGTGGCCGGGGCGCTCTCGCACAGCTCCCCACCCGCCCTCGGGCTGCGAAGCCGCCGGGAAGCCCGGGACACAGGCAGGGCGACTGCTGCTGCCGCCGAGCGAGGGGAGAGCAGCGGCCGGTGTCCGGGTCTCCTTCGCCTCCTACGGGATCACCAGGCGCCTCCTCGGGGATTCCTCTCCTCGCTTTACATGCTGCCCCCCGGCTCTGGATTTATAGGCAACTACCCCCTGCGTATTCACCACCCTCCTCCCAGGGACTGCCCGGCGGAGGGCCGCCTCTCCCCTGCCTGACCCAGCGGTGTGCATCTGGCTCTTGCCATCCCCTCCCGGGGGCGCCCGGACGGACCTGGAGCCCCCCTGAGACCTGAAGCGCTAGCTGAGCCCGGGCGAGTGGCGGCCGGGCTGGCGCATCACCTGGGGAGCCGCTCCTCACTCTGCCTCTGCTGCGTGCTGGGATTTGTTGTGCTTCAGTTTGGGGTCTGTCGGCTCGCTCTGATCCGAGCCGATTCCGAGAAGCAGCCTCAGGTTATGAATTCTCTACTGCGGTGAGTAAACATTGAAAGCTGCTCAACCAGTTGCAACTTCTGGTGGCCCACAATTATACTGTTGCTCTGTGTGTGCTGGGGTGGGGGAGATGGGAGAGATGAACACTAAACATTTCAGCGACTTGGCTTCCCTCCCCCGTGCGGGATCTGAACATCACTGTGGTGGGCTGGCAACTTAAACATCATTAAAGCTAAAACTCATCTCCCCAGCCCCCTTACCCAGCCACCCCAATTCTCTCGAGTTCTTCTCCCCTGTGCAGGACACCAGCTTCTGCCATTTGAAGAGCCAGGGAAGGGGCTGGTGGGGACAGACTTGATTGCACAGCAGCTGTGTATCAAACTTGGTTTGACTAAGAGACCAAGCACAATGAGGGGCTGTTTTTAAGGGGGTGCGATGTTTTCACTGTGGTGTGGTATAGGCTGCAGATGTCCTGGAGGTAGGAAGGGATGGGAGTTTCTTATCTGGGGGGACGATTGGGTCACAGGGTGCACCTGCAATTTGCTCAGCACCTAAACGCAGGGAACCTCTACCCCACCCCCCTTCCTGTGGTATTCGTGTAAAGTCTCGATCCAACATATAGGGTGAAGGGAGCACCGTGTGCTGATCAGAGGAAAGGGGGGCTGTAGGGCCTTCAGAGGGAGCTAGTAGGGGGAGCGTGGCAGAAAAACTGTCGGTGGATGTTGCATCAATGCCCAGTAGCGCTCCGGATTTCCCCCTCGCCCATAGATCCATGTTCTGAGCACATACTCTGTTCCAGTGCAAACAGGGCTCTTTGCTGAGGTGTGAGGCAGCTCCTGCTAATGTGTTTTCTGTGAGTTTGTGCACTGTTGCCCTTTGCTTTACCTGCTCCAGGTTGTGTTGGTGATTTTGTTTCTGGAGTGGGGAGCCTGATTTTACTCTTTGCCATAGCGGTCTGTTACCGGTAGGGGGCGCTGGAAGCGAGGGCTCCGCTCGAAGTGGCTGGATGCTCCAGCCACTTTTTAGAGAAATCAGTGAGCGGTCTGGAGTCACCATTGCGAGGGACAGAGGGCAAAACTCGCAACTGGTTCCCATTAAGCAGAACCTACCTTGTTAAGTATCTAGCACAGATACCTAAGAGGGAGAGAAACAAGAGATGGCAAACAGAGAGTCCATTTAGTGCTGTTACAAAACAGGAGTTAACTCTTTAGCCAAAAACAACAAGGAGTCTGGTGGCACCTTAAAGACTAACAGATTTATTTGGGCATAAGCTTTCGTGAGTAAACCTCACTTCTTC